TCTTGAAAGAATATAAAAATTAATTTGATTTAATTTTTAAAAATTGCACTCTGTACTGCTTTAATATTTATGTTGAAATTAGATAAAATCCTTAAATTGATTCCATAAATCGGTAAAACTAATTTAGTCAATTTTATATGAATAAATATTTACTAACCTAATGGCCAAAATTCTTTTTATAGCGTCTTCCCTCACTTCCAGTTCATCAGATTTGACTATTGAATATAAGATATTTTCAGGCAGTAAGGCGAAAGCATTGTATTGTATATTTTTCAATGTGATCTGTTGGATTTCATAGGGTTGCTTCCTAATCCTTTGGATCATATTGAAAATATACATTTGCTGATTGTGGAACTTGTTATTTCTTTTATTTTCGAATCGGAAAATGGCATACACATTCACAATAAAATTTATTAAACTGTGGAATTTGGTTGAAATATTTCGTGGGTATGCACCATGAGTCCATAAACACATCGGACTGATACCAAAGTTAACCACCTTCCATGATGGACAAATCTATGAATCTAGAGTCCACCTTACCTCTACAAATACCCACTGTATATTCATAAAGGTGTCTTTGGTCACAACTAAGGGTATCGGCATTTTCAATTTTAAAAATAGAACCCAGAGGACTGTCAACAGCTAAAAATGATATTTGGGGTACATTATGGCATTCATTTGCACGTAAGTGGACCATTGAATGTGGCAGGGCTTTTTTGTGGTACCATCTACATGTTTAAAAAGAGCTCTAAACAACATTTAACGGCCAAAATACTGTTTATTATAAAACAGAGCATTTACTTAAATATTTGTATCTATAAAAAAATGTATAAATATAAAAATGTTTTAAAATAGTTGTCGGACTTTGTCCATTTCATGTGTAACGTGATTTGTTTACATTTGATATGCCATGAGCCGATATAAATGTACGTGAGAGATTTATTGAAGATTAAAGTTTAAAGGCAGTAAAATTGACCTTGCTAAACGAACGCTCCTCTGTGGCCAAAACGGTTAAGGCACGTCAGGCTATATGACTGTTTTGGAGGACGAAAATTTTGTATGAAAATTAATCGGACATTCAGGCCGGTAAATGTTGTTTAATACAGTTTATTATAAAACAGAGGATTTACTTAAATATTTGTATCTATAAAAAAGAATGTATAAACATAAAAATGTCTTTATGTATATATATATATATATATATAAAAGGCCGCCTGAAGATTGCGTCAGCATGAAACAGCCTATCGCCTCTGAATGTTGACATCAATGTTCACTTTTATATTTATAATTACATACATTCTATCTCTGATATTGAGCACTTTATCCCATAAATATAGTACACATTAATACTATATTTCTTCATATATATATATATATATATATATATATATATATATATATATATATATATATAATATATTTAATGATATCGCCTGAGGAATTACAATCATATTTTGGAAACATGAAAGGTTTTGTGTATCGATGTAAAATGTTTTTATTATAATCTTGTATAATAAAAATATAATAATAATAATAATAATAATAATAATAATAATAATAATAACAATGTGTGTGTGTGTGTGTGTGCTTAGCAAAATGGCAAAGAGCAGACTAGGAAATTCGGCTTCTTTCAATTCCTAACGGAATTTTATTTATAACAAAATCTCTAATGTTCATGAAATCGTTCATTTTGAATAAAGACGACGCACTATGCTGCCATCCCCGCCAAAGTCCGTTAATAAATATTAAAATGAACTTCAGTGCCATGATTCCTTGTTAATCTAATGAAGCCATCTTCAGTGCGCTTGCCGACATTAACTAGCGACCAAAGTAGCGGATCGCCTGCGATAAAAGCATCAACATTTTTCTTTCAATCTTTATACAGACTTCCGAGCGTGCTTCTGTGAATGCCATCAGTTTACCGGACTATCAAGTCTGACAGACGAATGGGTTTTGCACCCGTCAAAATCGATAGTCATAGCGCAGTCAATTAAAGAGTGAATTCATACAGAATTTAACAATATCGCACGGAATTCATATATAAGCCAATATACTGTATACGTCAACGCTAAATATTTTGCCCAAAATATCACGTATGATATATTCGATCTAAACCTGATTCTTTTCCATAAGATATTTCCTGCTTTTCATCGTTGATAATTCGATCTCTCGTTAAGAACGGTCTTTGATAAATATCCAAACAATATCAAATTTATTGTATTATAGGTCTCACGCCAGATCATGTCAAAATAGACTTTGCACGCGGTGTCATTCAGAGAAGGCAGCTGCCGAATTAACATGAATTGTGCTACTGGCCGCCGTGTGATATGATCAGCTTAGTGCCAGTTGAAACACACGCATGAGAAAAAAAGTATGACAAGAGATAGATATATAAACACCCACCCTTGAGTTAATGAGGGACAGATTGTTTCAGATGTCATACACGGTAATGTCTAGTGTACGTTTGGATGAGCAGTTCGGGGAAGCGCACACAAAATGGTCGAAGGTAATCGACGATGTTTGGAATTGAATAAAATGCAATGTTACCTGTGAGAGACTTAAGCTTCATATTAGACTCAGAGAAGCAACTGCAGGAACTCTCACAGAAGTTATTAAAGGAAAGTTACCTCATTTGGAAAAATGATTAACGGATGGAAATCTGTGGTGTGATGAGACGACCAAACTCTACATATTCTCTTTCCAAGGACTGCCATAAACAAAGAAAGCGAGAATATAACTTAGTTTTCATGCGCGAGATATTTGAACGTCGATCTGTGACAAGCGGCTTCACTGTGAGTACTTTAGTTCTGTTAGCATATCAGCAACAGTCCCGACAATCTTACCTGTATATATATATATATATATATATATATATATATATATATATATATATATATATATATATTAAGACATTTTATGTTTAAACATTCTTTTTATAGATACAAATATTTAAGTAAATGCTCTGTTTATAATAAACAGTATTAAACAACATTTACCGGCCTGAATGTTCAGCGAATTTTCATAGAAAATATTCGTCCTCCGACAGGATTCGAACCTGTATCCTATACAGAACCGTCATATAGCCTGACGTGCTGAGGTGACCGCTTCGGTCACAGAGGTTCGTTCGGTTAGCAAGGTCAAATTTCCTGCTTTTAAACTTCAATCATCCATGAATCTCTCACGTACATTCATATCTGCACATAGCGTATTAAATGTAAACAAATGACGTCACACATTATGAAATGGACAAAGTCCGACAATTGTTTTAAGACATTTTTTGTTTATACATTCTTTTTATAGATTCAAATATTTAAGTAAATGCTCTGTTTATAATAAACAGTATTTATCAACATTCACCAGCCTGAATGTCCGAGAATTTTTCATAGAAAACAGGATTCGAACCTGTATCCTATACGGAACCGTCATATAGACTGATGTGCTTTTAACCGAATCGCCCACAGAGGAGCGTTCTGTTAGCAAGGTCGAAATTACATTTGATACGCCAAGAGGTTGGCAGTGGCACACCTATCCATAATAAGCACCACACATTGTACTCGAAATGTATCTTGCCATCACATTACGGGGTATCCCATTTATATAATAACTAGCGTAAAATAAGCACTGTGTAGTATTTGAAGCTAGAACCTGACCAAAACAAACGGGACCTCTAGTCCAGCTAAGAAAACAGCAATGATAATCTTGAAGTAATAACTGTGAATTCCTCAATTCACTCCATGGAAATTCAAAACCTCACTTTTTCGGGCTATAAGTACAATTCTGGCCAAAACACAGATTTAGGCCGAAACTTCGATTTGGACCAAAATTTCAATTCAGGTCGAAAATTGAGTTCTTCAAATCACGAACTCCGTGGAACTTCAATTGAGCTGAATTCTTCAAATCACAAACTCGAGTAACGATATCTCTCACTTTAACTTGATTTCCTCAATTCACAAATTTTGGAAATATATTAAACTGAATTTTTTTTTTTAAATATTATGTGTTATATTCACACCGTTTTTGTGTAACTTTAAACTCAATATAAATGAAGAAAAATACTTTTAAAATCACTAATTTTGTTCAGTTATTTTGAAGTTTTAGCTGTTCCCTTCTCATCCGAAAAAAATGCTAGATGTTCAAGCACCAGAGAATGGTCAGATATCCAATTTTGATTCTAAAAAGCTATAATATCTCTGTGTAGAACAAGGTTGGCTCGAGTTAAAGGGGTTTCAGACAGACGGACTGTTATACTGAAACACGCCTATTCTATTTTTAATAGACTCTCCCACATATAATAAGTAGTAGTAGTAGCAGTCGCCAGAGCGAGCTCAGTCAGTTGGTGAGTCAGTCGATGTCGGACATTAAAGTATCAACCACCACAACTAGATTGCTGCGTCATTAACTATTATTTCAAGTTCCTAACGTTTTGCACGTCGAACCTTTTTTAGGACCGACTTAGTGAAATACAAGCCTCCACTGTGAAACTACTCTACAACACATTGGCGACGAGGGATTCGGATTCATACGGAGGAAGAAAAACCTTTTCGCACTCTACAACACGGACAGACAGAAAGAATTTGACATTTATTTATTTAGATCTTGCGAAATACTAAGATAATCATTTGGTATTCAGTACGAGAATCATGAAAGTCCAATCAAAGGTTGACTATCAGTACCAGTATCTGACTATATTTCTGAGATGAGGCCGAAACAACGTAACGTTGTGATAAACATGGCGACAAAGATGTGGGCAATAGTCCGAATAATGTCAATAATGCAAGGTTGACTATATACTGATGTGGGGGCGTTAGGGTTGTGTTTTGTTACGAAATGGAGCGGCAACCCCACAAAAGTTTTGGGGACCATTGCTTTGCAGCTACCTAAAAAAATGGGTTCATATATTTCAGGATATTAAAGTTTTGCTATATAATTTAAATGAATGTGGTGGTGTATAATGAATAGCAGCTTGGATTGAAAGTCGGGTTTAATTCCCCATGTATAATACGCATTTAAGAATATTAAGAAGAATCAAGGGTGCGTATATGCACAGCTACAAACAAATCTTTAAAAAATTGGGGTAAAATAAAATAAGAATTATCATAAAACTAAATTAGAATAATAATATTCTGTTTAAAACCATTTTTAAATAAGTGCAGGCGGTAATGAATTTGGAGAGGTACAATATATAGGTTTGATTACCAAACAAGGTGTGCGTATTATGCGTGAGTAGAAGCATTTTCCCCCACTTTCAGCACAATTTTAGATGTGCGTGTTATGGATGAAGGCGTATTATAAATGGGGAATTACGGTATTAGCGACACACCCCGACGTGGTGTAATGATTAGCTTGCATGTCTTGCCTGAACAATTACGACTGAAGAGTGAGTTCGATTCTCACTGGCTGCCTCCTACTTCCGGCCTTGTGCCACATCTAAGCTACGCTTGGAGTATTACAAGGGCACCTCGAGGGGGTGTAATAGTTAGCAAGCTTGTCTCGGGAGAACAATTACGACTGAGTAGTGAGTTCGATCCTCAATGGGTGCCTCCTACTTTCGGCCTTGTGCCACATCTAAGCTACACTTGGAATATTACAAGGGCACCTCGATGCGGTGTAATGGTTAGCAAGCTTGTCTTGCTAGAACAGTTACGACTGAGTAGTGAGTTCGATCCTCGCTGGGTGCCTCCTATTTTCGGCCTTGTGCCACATCTAAGCTACGCTTGGAAAACAGCTACAGCCATGTGACGTTATGACACCGATTCTCGTACGACCACAGAAATTAAGCAACGTCGAACACAGTCAGTACCGAGATGGGTGATCGCTTAGGGATACTAGGTGCTGTAAGCTTGAATGGGCGGGTTGGCATAATGCATAACAGCCCGAAAAGAGATGTCAAAGAGCCGAGTTCGAATTCCAGTCTGGTAAGGATCGCACTAACTATTCAGTCGTAATTGATCTAGCGAGACAAGCTTGCTATTACACCACGTCGAAGTGCCCAATGATTTTCAAAGCGTAGCTTAGATGTGTCTCAGCACCGACAGTATGGGGTTCCCAGTGAGGATCGAACTCAGTCTTCAGTCGTAATTTTTCTAGCAATACAAGCTTGCTAACAACTACATCACTCCGAGTTGTCCAATAATTTTTAATTGTGCCCTGACAGAAAACGCTGAAGATATTTGGGTTGATTTGTTTTATGGCATATCAACCTTAAGGGGTTATTTAATGCCGACAAAATTTTTATTGCTGGTAATATATTTTTTTTTCAAAAAATGTATTGCTCGTAATGTTTTTTTTCCAGAAATGCATTGCTGGTAATAATTATTATTTTCAAAAATTCATTGATAGTAATATTTTTTTCGCAAACATGTATTGCTCGTATTAAAACCTATTTTTCCCCTTTAAAAGTGCTTTGACAACAGTTTGAGGGTTGACTATTTGCCCGTAGCTGGAACCCTAACAGGTCATGGTGAACCTCGGAACACCAGCAATTAAGCGGTGGTTTCACGCTTCTCAAAACCACCTGATCATACGCCATGCTAGTGGATGTAGTTTATCGTCTTACACAGGACACGCTGAAGATGTTGAAACGCAAAAAGTTATAATTTTTAAATTTAAATTTTAAAAATCGCGCCCCTTGTCCTTCCTACATATATACAATTCCATTATTTTAGTCTAATGAAGTCCTCCTATATGGCGAAAAGGGTTACAAAGACTTTTGCTCACTTCGTCATTCATTTGCCTATCATTATTCTGATATGTAGAAATTTAGATCTCATTGATTTATTTGTAAACGAGATTTTTTTTATTGATTTTATTTGGTAGACGTTTTTATAGCCTTGTTTAGAAAGACGTATGAGAATGAATTCAGAGACTCTTGTCCATTGGTTGGTGAAACCAGGATATGGCTTTTGAGTCGCAGACTTTGTTGTCTTGCTTATGAATGGAAGCAGAATCCATTTATGGCACTTCTTTTTCTATTTCAATATAATTTCCGATATTTTTTTGTTTATTTTCCTTTCTAAATTTGTCCACTTATGTCATTGACATAAACATTATTCCTTCCTTCCTTCCTTCCTTCCTTCCTTCCTTCCTTCCTTCCTTCCTTCCTTCCTTCATTCTTTCCTTCCTTCCCTCCCCTTCCTCCTTAATTACTTTCCTTTATCCGTTCCCTCCTTCATACCTTCCTTCATTCCTTCCTTCCTTCCTCCTTAAGTATTTCCTTTATCCCTTCTCTCCTTCCTTCCTACCTTCATTCCTTCCTTCATTTTTCCTTCCTTCCTTCCATTTTTTTCAATCCTTCATTCATTTATTCCTTCAAGCCATCTTTCTGTCATCACTTTACTTCCTTTTATTGTTCCTTCCTTCCTCCTCCTTATTTCCTTTATCCCTTCTCTCCTTTTCCTCCTTCATTCCTTCCTTCATTTTCCTTCCTTCCTTCCATCCCTTTTTCAATCCTTCATTCATTTATTCCTTCAAGCCATCTTTCTGTCATCACTTCCTTCCTTTTTATTGTTCCTTCCTTCCTCCTTAATTTTTTCCTTTATCCCTTCCTCCTTCCTTCTACCTTCATTCCTTCCTTCATTTTCCTTCCTTCCTTCCATCCCTTTTTTCAATCCTTCATTCATTCATTCCTTCAAGCCATCTTTCTGTCATCAAAATCCTTCCTTTTTGTTCCTTCCTTCCTCCTTAATTATTTCCTTTATCCCTTCTCTCCTTCCTTCCCTACCTTCATTTCTTCCTTCATTTTCCTTCCTTCCTTCCATCCCTTTTTCAATCATTCATTCATTTATTCCTTCAAACCATCTTTTCTGTCATCACTTCCTTCCTTTTATTGTTCCTTCCTTCCTCCATAATTATTTCCTTTATCCTTCCTGCTTCCTTCCTACCTTTCATTCCTTCCTTCCTTTTTCCTTCCTTCCATCCCTTTTTCAATCCTTCATTCATTCATTCCTTCAAGCCATCTTTCTGTCATCACTTCCTTCCTTTTATTGTTCCTTCCTTCCTCCTTAATTATTTCCTTTATCCCTTCCCTCCTTCCTTCCTACCTTCATTCCTTCCTTCATTTTTCCTTCCTTCCTTCCATCCCTTTTTCAATCCTTCATTCATTCATTCCTTCAAGCCATCTTTCTGTCATCACTTCCTTCCTTTTATTGTTCCTTCCTTCCTCCTTAATTATTTCCTTTTATCCTTCTCTCCTTCCTTCCTACCTTCATTTCTTCCTTCATTTTTCTTCCTTCCTTCCATCCCTTTTTCAATCATTCATTCATTTATTCCTTCAAATATCTTTCTGTCATCCTTCCTTCCTTTTATTGTTCCTTCCTTCCTCCATAATTATTTCCTTTATCCCTTCCCTGCTTCCTTCCTACCTTTCATTCCTTCCTTCCTTTTTCCTTCCTTCCATCCCTTTTTTCAATCCTTCATTCATTCATTCCTTCAAGCCATCTTTCTGTCATCACTTCCTTCCTTTTATTGTTCCTTCCTTCCTCCTTTAATTATTTCCTTTATCCCTTCCTCCTTCTTCCTTCCTACCTTCATTCCTTCCTTCATTTTTTTCCTTCCTTCCATCCCTTTTCAATCCTTCATTCATTCATTCCTTCAAGTTTATCTTTCTGTCATCACTTCCTTCCTTTTATTGTTCCTTCCTTCCTCCTTAATTATTTCCTTTATCCCTTCCTCCTTCCTTCCTACCTTCATTCCTTCCTTCATTTTCCTTCCTTCCTTCCTTCCATCCCTTTTTCATCCTTCATTCATTCATTCCTTCAAAATTCTTTCTGTCATCACTTCCTTCCTTTTATTGTTCCTTCCTTCCTCCTTAATTATTTCCTTTATCCCTTCTCTCCTTCCTTCCTACCTTCATTTCTTCCTTCATTTTTCCTTCCTTCCTTCCATCCCTTTTTCAATCATTCATTCATTTATTCCTTCAAGCCATCTTTCTGTCATCACTTCCTTCCTTTTATTGTTCCTTCCTTCCTCCATAATTATTTCCTTTATCCCTTCCTGCTTCCTTCCTACCTTCATTCCTTCCTTCCTTTTCCTTCCTTCCTTCCATTTTTTTCCTTCCTTCATTCATTCATTCCTTCAAGCCATCTTTCTGTCATCACTTCCTTCCTTTTATTGTTCCTTCCTTCCTCCTTAATTATTTCCTTTATCCCTTCTCTCCTTCCTTCCTACCTTCATTCCTTCCTTCATTTTTCCTTCCTTCCTTCCATCCCTTTTTCAATCCTTCATTCATTCATTCCTTCAAGCCATCTTTCTGTCATCACTTCCTTCCTTTTATTGTTCCTTCCTTCCTCCATAATTATTTCCTTTATCCCTTCCCTGCTTCCTTCCTACCTTTATTCCTTCCTTCATTTTTCCTTCCTTCCTTCCATCCCTTTTTCAATCATTCATTCATTAATTCCATCAAGCCATCTTTCTGTCATCACTTCCTTCCTTTTATTGTTCCTTCCTTCCTCCATAATTATTTCCTTTATCCCTTCCTTTTCCTTCCTTTCTTTATTCCTTCCTTCATTTTTCCTTCCTTCCATCCCTTTTTCAATCCTTCATTCATTCATTCCTTCAAGCCATCTTTCTGTTATCACTTCCTTCCTTTTATTGTTCCTTCCTTCCTCCTTAATTATTTCCTTTATCCCTTCCCTCCTTCATTCCTACCATCATTCCTTCCTTCATCTTTCCTTCCTTCCATCCCTTTTTCAATCCTTCATTCATTCATTCCTTCAAGCCATCTTTCTGTCATCACTTCCTTCCTTTTATTGTTCCTTCCTTCCTCCTTAATTATTTCCTTTATCCCTTCTCTCCTTCCTTCCTATCTTCATTCCTTCCTTCATTTTTCCTTCCTTCCTTCCATCCCTTTTTCAATCCTTCCTTCTTTCATCCCTTCATTCATTTCTTCGCCCTCCCTTCATTCATTCGTTCGTTCATTCCTTCCTTCCTATCATTCCTTAAAACATGACATTATTATTTCGTTCGTTTCTTTCTTATTGCCATTTACCCTTCCTTCCTTTTTCCCAGCCTTAATGTCTTCCATCCAATCTTCATTCTACCCTTCCTCTCTTCATCCCTTTCTTCCTTCTTTCCTTTCTTCATTTCTTCCTTGCTTTAGTCATCCCTACCTTCATCCATCATTCCTTCATGCAGTCTTTCCTTCATTTCTTCATTCCTTCATTACTTCCTTCTTTCCATTCTTAATCCATTCTGTTCTTTATTATTTCATTCCTTCCCCCCTCATTCCTTCCCTCCTTCTTTCCATCCTTAATCCCTTACTTCCTTCCCTCCACCATTCCTTCTGTCCTTCATTGCTTCTTTTTCTCTTTCATTAAATCATTGTTGCTTTGGTTTGTTTATAGTTTCTTTATCTGTTTCTTCATTCTTTTTAAATCCTTTTCACTCTTTCTTTATTTTCTTTCACTCTCTCATTCCTTGACTTCCTTTTTTTCATTTTGCATCGTTCTTTCTTTCTTTTATGATTTTCAGCACCCCTTCTTTCTTTCTTTCTTTCTTTCTTTCTTTCTTTCTTTCTTTCTTTCTTTCTTTCCATTATCAATCTTCCCTTCTTTCTTTCCCTTCCTTCTTTCTTTCCATTCTTTCTTTTGCTTTATTCTTTCTTTTTTCTTTTGTTTATCTGATTCATTTATTCATTTTTTTAACTTTTTTTATCGGTTCCTTCTTTTGCTAAATTATCTTTTACTCATTTTCTTTATCTTCTTTCTCGGTCTTTGTGTTTCTTTTTTTTTTTTTTTTTTTCTTTTGTCTTCCTTTCGTTCATTCAATCTTTCTTTCTTTCTCTTGCTCAATTTTTGCTCATCTTTTCTTCTTCTTTTTTTAAACATTTCTCTCGGTCATCCTCTCCACTTTGCCATCGTGCAATATTTTATATATTTATTTATCCATCCTTTCTATATTTTTGAAAACTTGTAAATCAACAAACATCGCGTCGACCAAACTCTTACCAAAATCCCAAACGAAGCAGAAACGCATCTCCAGTCTTGGAACTGAGCCAAGAATTTTCCCAACTCACGTTTCAGTCTTCGAGGAACGCGAATATCTATCCTTAGATGCAGTGCTATTCGTTTTTCTTCACCGTTTATAGTATAGGAAATCTGGTTACTTAAGACTTTATTACATTAATATCCACCATTAATGTTATTGGTGGGTTTAGAGAAAGAAAATAGACAAACAACAAGGATTTTGGCATTAAGAGCTTCTATTTGAAAAAAGAAAAAAATAAAAACAAAAAAGAAACACGCTTTAGCAAAAGCAAGATTCAAGAAAACAAGATTCGAGAAACCAAGCAAATGCTGATGCCAGCACTGATACTACGGCCCGATGTTACGAATACCTGTATAAGAAATTCGCGTCCTACTACCATAAAAAAAAAAACATGGTGATACCAAGGTATTGATAGAAACGTTGTTTGATAAAAGCCGATGTTAGAAACCTTTTAATATCGAACCTTTACTGAGAATACATATGCAGTTGTTTGAATAATACAGGTATACCTCCGGTTACGTAATTTCGAGTTAAGTCCTTATCGATTATACGTCGTTTGTCAACAAATATATATATGGAAAAATTAAAATCAAATTTAAGTCATTTTTTCGACTTTACGTCTGTCAGCCACAAATATTGAAGTTGTAATATCACTAAAAATATAAAAGCACATAAAATCATGTTACTGTACAATTAATAAGAATAAAAGTATATAAAATCTTATTAAAATATGTACATTTTCAGTATGAATGTAATTATTGGTAAATTTATCATAAATTAGTTTCTTTTCTACTATCGCAAAATTTCAATAACTGTATTTGTTATTTAACCTTACAAAATCATTTTCTTTTATAATGTCTTAAAGCAAACCATTTCACAAATAAAAGTCTGCGATGTACTGGAAAGATCACCAAACTGTAAACATTTCCATTTACAAGTATGTACGTACATGTATTCATCAATTTAGATTACTTTTTTTTCTTTACTATATTAAAAATTAAAATTTATTTGTTTGTAACATTAAAATAGATTCTTATTGACCATATATTATTAAAAATACATTTATAAATAAAATATAGACCTGTGAACGGTTATTTATGGTTTAGCCTAGTGACTTGTAAATTCGGAGACAAGTAAATTCGACTTGTAATGTAACATGTAATGCATACACATTTCATATACGTAAATTAAATACAGGTTACGTCGTTTCGAGTTAAGTCGTTCTCGATTATACGTCGTTTGCCCGAAAATATATATAGAACAACAAAAATCAAGTTTAAGTCATTTTATTCGACTTTACGTCTTGTCAGTCACAAATATTGAAGTTGTAATATCACTAAAAAGTTTAAAGCACATAAAATCAAGTTACTGTACAATAAATAAGAATAAAAGTATATAAAATCATATTAAAATACGTACAATTATGTTAATATAATGGTCATAAATCCTAGAGAAAGAAATATGAAAACATCTGTGACTCTGTTGTCGTCTATTAAGTGTTATCACTCTGTTAAGAAGCAAGGTGAAAGTGCATCAGCTGACGAACAAGAAGCAGCCTATTTTCCTAAAGCATTGGCTAAGATCATCGAAGAAAACCGGTTTCTTCCTGAACAAATTATATCGGAAAAAAAAAAAAAAAATGGCAGACCGTTCTTTCATTGCTAATGCTAAGAGCAAGGCTATCTCGCTGATAATTTATTTTATTCAGAATACTGTGCGTACATACAATAAATATAGTAATATGCAATGGTGAGTGCTTATTTGCGGTTTATAGTATGGTTAATTTGACTTAAGTCGTTTTCCGACCTAAGTCATGGCCTCTGGAACCAATTAACCACGTAGGGTTTGGTATACCTGTATGCATATTTGTGTAGACGTCCCAATTTTATAAACAGTGCTTAGTTCGCCTATCGGCCTTCGAGAAATTTCAATAAAGAAAATGTGAGCGCTGGGAGGATTTGAAACTTCCCCTGATATTTTGCAGGAGCAATCACTGATTGATACGACGTGCTTTATCTGTTCGCAATAAGTTTCTATCTGCCTCTAAATCTAATTTATATTGCTTGACTATGGAGAAGTTTTTCGTATTGTCGTAGATTAACACTGCCAGATCAAAATTCATTTGAGTTGTTATTCTGAAGGGTACGCTTGATGCTAATCATTTCTTGTTAGTATGTCTAGGGTTCGAGATCTCCAAAATTACTGAAATAGAAATAGAAAACAAATATAGAAAAAAAATCAGGACTGCTAAAGTTGAGTGTTGTGGCTCCTTTTATATCCAGCTCCGTTGACGTGTCGTGAGATGGTGCAGTTTACGTGGTGCTTCGAGCTTCGAAATTACTTCGAGCAATCTGCCTTTCAAGCAATTGATAGTTCGAGAAATTATTTTTTGAGCAATTGATTTCGAGCAATTTATTGTCGAGCTATTGATTTCGAGCAATTTACATAGAGTCTTTTCATCCACACCCTCGTCATATACATACGTGGGCTGATTTAAAGATCTGGTGTTATAAAAAGAAAACTAACTCCCCCTTCTGAAGTCATGCATATATCCAGTTGTTTCTTTTAAAGAAAAGCACTGCTAGAACTCTCTTTTGGGGATAACGATGAGCTGCCAACATGCCACAAAATGAGCAAAACCCTAGCTGTAAAAATCAGGATGAATAGAATTCTGCGAATGCCTGCCTCAAATCTGCCCCATTTGTGAAGGATTTCTCATGAAGATGGTTGTTCAGAGAATGGAAGATCTGTTGGTCCAAATACCGGAATGTAAAGCGGATTCCACAGCGTCTTCCAGCCAAGATACCGTATAATATCCCAAGCCATTCATGCCACACGGGGTTTGGCATTGTCATGGAGGAACAGAACGCACTTGTGATTAAACAATACTGGCTCCTTCTGAAAGCCTGTCTGTTGTACACTTTCCAACTGGTGCGAGAAAAGATCTAACGTGAAGATTTGGCCTGCTGGTATCAGATTATATGGCACCACTTTTCGACATGTTCGCAAGTCCATAAACTGGCGTAGGTGCAGAATTCGTCTAGTAATGTGAGGTCTAGTGTCCCGTGGTTTTCAAAGACGATAGAAAAATAAGACACAACAATCCAAAGCTTTCTTTTAATAGCGGAATATTCCTTCCAAAATCTAAACAAAATATTAAGATCCAGTGAGGAGACCCGAAGAGTTGTAAGTTCCATACCAGGATAGATTAGTGCTGAACCAAAAAACATGAGACGAGCTAAAGAAAATAACTGATACATCTGGAAGAGGTATGGTTAGGCCTATCAATTCACACAGCCTTCTTGCAGATAAAAAAAAAATTTGGCTTTCATTTCACGAGATTATCAGACGATGTGTTAATGGTCTATTACTTGATTGGTCAATCTAGATTTAATATTTAACTTACATTCGGTAATTGAGTAGCCACGCTTATAGATACTTTCGAATTAATGTGTTGTTTCTTATTTTCACCAATCTGGTATCTATCTATCTATCAATATATATATATATATATATATATATATATATATATATATATATATATATATATATATATAAATATATATATATATATATGTGTGTGTGTGTGTGTGTGTGTGTGTGAGAGAGAGAGTGTGTGTGTGTGTGTATAAGACCACTTTTATGGAATACATGCAACTGATTGATAAGGGACATAAATTATTACATGGAACCTTAAAGTGGTCTGTTTTTATTTAATATATATATATATATATATATATATATATATATATATATATAATCTATGTCAGCCTGTAAATTTGTTTCTATCTCTCAAAATATTGTATACAGAGTAATGATGTTAAGTCTGATATATATATATATATATATATATATATATATATATATATATATATATATATATATATTAGAATTATTTATGTTTATCTTAGTTCATTTCTATCTATCTATCTATCTATCTATCTATCTATCTATCTATCTATCTTAGTCTGGGTACATATTTCACTCTGTCTCAATTTCATTAGTAAAATATCTTAGTTTCCTTACCGGCCCTAACCTATTCATATCGGTGTTTATATCTATTTGCCAAAAAAGCCCAGTTTTTTTTCTTCACTTGATGTTTGGTCATTGACCGTACGTGATTTGTAGATGAAATCCGTATTTACGAGTGGTTTTGTAAGCACTTTGGTTTGTATTCATGTTAATGTCAATGTAAATCATGAGAGGAACCGCGCCTTAATCAGCCTGGGGATGAAGCCGAGCCATATCTCATTCCAAGAAGCAACGAACCAAAGTCGCCAAGAAGGGCAGAGTCCTAAATTCTTTTTGCTCTTTTCCACATCGAATGACATGTGAATGCTGAAGCCAGGTCATAGAGAACGGATGGGCAAAATTGGGCGCAGCCTTAGTGTCAATGAGTTTTGTTTGAGGAGTGTATATCAGAGACGATACGGATAAAAATCTCGGTGCAAAATTTGGATCGATATCAAATCACGCGCAAAAGAGGTGCACACCCACAAACACGCAGGGACACAGACAAGCACACACATCTAAAAACACACACACACACAAACACACATACACATATATATATATATATATATATATATATATATATATATATATATATATATATATATATATATAAATTTTTTTCTGATTTATCATTCTGAGCCACTATCCATTACAACATATTTTGTATATATACATACGACGACAATTATCCTTCGGACTATATATATATATATATATATATATATATATATATATATATATATATATATAATATAATATATAATATATATATATATATATATATATATATATGTAGTACAAAAAATACTAAAGAACTTTGGATTATTTAAAGAACAGCAGTTTTGGATTATTTTTCTATAAATTCTTTCTGCCATATTTATATATATATATTAAATATATATATATATATATATATATATATATATATATATATATATATATATATATATATATATATATATATATATATATATATATATATATATATATATAAAGGCTAAAATATCTAAACACACACACACACACACACACATATATATATATATATATATATATATATATATATATATATATATATATATAGATAGATAGATTTCTAGATAGATAGATGATAGCTTATGCAAAACTAGGTAATCAGTATGGGTAAAATTAGGAGGATGATATCCAGAGAGCTCAATGTAAATTCAAAGCAAATAAATTTGAATAAAACAGACCACTTTAAGGTTAACTCACTCATGTCTTCTCTTTCCCCCATCACTTCCTCACTTCGTTAATTTACATATGCTTAATACGGCCCGTCAAAAATGTGTGAATTTCTTTCCATTTTTTATTTCAACCTTCGGAATAAAGTCTGATGATCCAGAGCGAAAAAAAAAATTTGTGGTGAAATAATTTATTACATGGAACCTTAAAGTGGTCTGTTTTTTCAAATTCATAATATATATATATATATATATATATATATATATATATATATATATATATATATATATATAAAGAAAAAAGGAACAGTAAGATATATAATCCAGTGTTCTTATTTTTATTTTTACAAAATAGTGCTCAATGTAAATTTATAGAGCATTAATATTTTAAAAACACCAGACGACGTGCATTTAAAAGAATTCGTTGAAAAATACATCCCTATCCCTACCTAAACATAACCCCTATTTCAAGCGTAACTAATAACTGATACAAAAAAGTTAATACCTTCCCTTGTCTGAATGACTGGGTTTCCTTGCACCCTTGGGAACGCTGAATTATGAATTTTTCTCTGCCTTTAAAACTACGTAATTTTTAAAAAATAAGTTACTCCAAAATTCGCTTGAGGATGAAATGGAAGTAATGTTTTTAATTCAATAACACAATTAAATTCGAAACTTTCAGGTACCATTTTTGAAACATGGTTCAGACTGTGTAGCGAAAATAACATATTTCCAATCTGTTAATTTATAATATATACACTGCGTGCCAAATTATTATCGAAATAATTTTTTTTATAATATTTCAAAAACCATTCAATCAATTCACACAAAATTTTCACACAATGTTGACAACACTGAACTGCAATCTTCGACCTGATCTGCGCAAAGTAAAGAAACTGGCGCCATATTTGTTATCAGCACGGTGATTTGAGCGTGCCAAATTATTAAAAAAGTGTAAGAATTTAGTAAAAAGATGGGCCATAAAAGCAGCAGTTTAAGTGATGCTGAAAAGAAAACTATCACCTCAGAACTCTCAAAAAAAAAATCTACCCTAGAAATTTCTAAAATGATAGGGAGGTGTCATCAAACAGCGAAAAAAGTTCACCGCCGACCCTACACAAGTACGCAAAAGGCAGATAAAGGCAAGCCAAGGGTTATTTCACGTCGTCTCATGTCACGACTTAAACGAGGGGCCACAAAGAACCCTGGACTTACCAGTCAAGAGCTTTTCAGTCGCATTGGGGATCCTACTGTGTCTAAAAGTACTCGGTGTCGGTATCTGAGGGAAATAGCAACAACAGTCAAACCTGTATCAAAAAACCTCCGTTGACGAAAATCACATTCAAAATCGATTGAAATGGGCCGAGGACAATATGAAGATTGATTTCTCTAAAGTTTTGTTCACAGACGAAACTCGAGCAACACTTGATGGGCCAGATAGATGGTGCAAAGGCTGGGTAATGAACGGACAGAATCGCCATCAGCGTTTGAGACGCCAACAAGGCGGTGGAGGCATAATGATCTGGGGTGGTATTATTGGAAAAACATTAGTGGGCCCATGGAGAGTACCAGATGGCGTCAAAATGACTGCTGATGCATACATAGCGTTTATGAAGGAGCATCTTGAACCGTGGATGAAAAGGCAAAGAGTTGCCTTCAGAAGGGCCATTGTTTTTATGCAAGATAATGCTCCCTCACATGCTGCTCACAAGACTACTGAATATTTGAAACAGTTAGGCTTCGATGGACCTCGAAAATGAAATGGCCAGCAAATTCTCCGGATTTGAACCCAATCGAAAACCTTTGGAACATCATGAAGCGAAGACTGTACGCCAACGGACGACAATTCAGGAGCGACTCTGAGTTTTGGGAAGCAATTCTCGACATATCTCGCGGCATTACAGCAGATGACATCCTACAATTAACAAATTCTTTGGATCGTCGATTTCAAGTAATTTAAAAACAGGGAAAGCACATTCCCTATTAATTTGTTTAAAACTGTGCCTTTGTTTGTATCTGTTATTATTTGTTTGATTATCTTATTTATTAGGTTCTTTTTTGATCATAAACATTCACGTGCAACATTAATAAACGTTTTGTTTGCTCAATTCTGGGAATTTTACTAAACCTTTCTAATAATTTGGCACGCTCAAATCACCGTGCTGATAACAAATATGGCGCCAGTTTGTTTACATTGCGCAGATCAGTACGAAAATTTCAGTGATTGCGCAGGTCAGTGTTGCCAACATTGTGTGAAAATTTATATATATTGATTATATATTTTTGAAATTTTTTAAAAAGTTATCTGCTTTAATAATTTGGATGAGGAGTAGACGTCATAAAAAGTTTCATCATATAATTAAACAAATTAAAAAAAAAAAAAAAAATTAATGTGTGTGGAAACCATGACCAAAAATGAACAAGAAATACCACATGGTAAGAGAAAGAACGATTTACATGACATTTTCTGGGCAAATAGGTCCAGGTACATGAAAATTAAAAGACATGAAGGAATCAACATAAAAGTGTAGATTTCTTGTCCATTCAACATCATTATATAACACCCTTTCTTCTCTCTCTTTCAAATTATCCCTTGGTTCTCTCTGTCTATCTATCTATCTATCTATCTATCTATCTATATATATATATATATATATATATATCTAATATTTAAAAAATATATTTTTATTCAAACAGATTTGGTTAAATAATTTAGATATATCATATCGACTAGTTTTCGTTGTGATCCTTTCATGTTCGGAGATTAATTTTTGGTAGACTTAGAAAATTCAGTAAGAAAAATACCAAAATTTTCTATAGAATAGTTTTTATTTTCCCAAGAACTTGCAATCTCATCTGTGACCATTATCAGTAGGGGTTAATGTTGTCTGTGAGTAATTTGGATATATGTTTCTGTGAAATATTTTATATATATATATATATATATATATATATATATATATAAGCAGGAGAGAAAGAAAGAGAGAGATGAGATTTCTCAAATGAAATTCTCCTTCTCTCTGCCCTTTCGATACATCTATCTATCTATCTATCTATCTAAATATCTATCTATATATATATATATATATATATATATATATATATATACGTATGTATTTTAACTTTTGTTAATTGTTCATTTTTAACTGCTTTTTTTTTTATCGATTTGTTCAATCTTTTTTATGTTTTGTTTTTTTTTTGTGCTTTTTTTATTTATAAACAAAGTATTATAAAAATAAAATATATATATATATTTTTTCCGTAAGCATTTAAGGAAAGTTTGTTGTTATTTAATAGTTGAATTTATTTTATTTGGTTTAACTCAGAACTATAAATTCCGTCAAGATTAAAAATTTTTCTTGTTGATTGTATTTATGTAAAATAGATGTATTTAAAGTCGATATCCGTCTAGATACTGAATGTGTATTATAGTGTTCCGAATAATTTGACGAGATAAAGTAATGAAAAAAAATGTTTTAGAATAATTTACAAGCGAAAAAAGTTAAATGAACACATTGTCTGACGATCGCTAAATTCAGCAAAAAAATGGAAACAAACTCAAATTTATCCAACCAAATATGTTTTTTCCTCTATCTCTGATATTGAGCCGTTTTATAATCGAATATTTGTATTTAATATATAAATAATTTACATATATAATATATTCATTTATATTCATATATTTTTTCAAACAACATATATATATAATATATAATCCAAAATGAATTTTCATAATTGTGTAAAAAGAAAGATTATGATGTGTGGTAAATAATAATCATCTGTGTCTCTTTCGATATATAT